GAATTAGACTTGATATACAAATTCCCACACAAGGAATTAAAGCTCAGAGAAATAGTCAGTAGTGCAGTTAGGATTATAACTCTGCCTTTTACAGATTCTAGAGCCACTCCTACTATCACTGAATTAAAAAAGCCTTTGTTCTCTCTAACACTTATATTAGCATTTAGCACACACAATCTGTCCTCATCACACATTCAGTCAAGCAGTGACCATGTGCTGGGGACTATTCTGAATGAGGGATTCCCATTGTATAAATGGACTTAGACAGTTCTTCATTATTGAACACCAGGTATTTTTTAATTTTTAAAAAATTTTTTAATTTTTTAACACCAGGTATTTGTTAGTGGAAATAGTAACATTTATATGAAATTTTGGGAAGATTACATGAAAAAATGTATGGCAAGCACCTAAGAGTATGCTTGGCATGTGGGAGGTGCTCATACAAGATTCTTAGCACATGTAAGTTGGGTAATTAGAGGAGAATAATTACTGGATAGAGAGAGGAGTAAAAGACAGATAGAGCTGGGTCCTAGGGCTAGGAAGAGAAGGGAGCTGTTATCACTCCAGGCTTAAAGGTGAGGGGAAGGAGCAGTCATGGAAGCAGGAAAGGGAGCCATAGAGAGGGTGTGGGCTTTCAGGAGCTGTGGAAGAATGCAGTGAATCCAGGACAACCTAGCAGAGAAGGAGCTAGGAGTGTGAGTACTCCACTCTAGGGTCCTCTCTGAGGTCAGCATCTGGGCACAAAGCTGATGTAGATGAGTGGGGAGTGGATCTGGATGGGCAAACAGGACATCCAAAGAAGTATTCCATTAAGTGTTGAAGCCAAATCTCCACTCTGAAGTTGCTTCAATCAAGCAGGGCAGATCAGACCTTTGCTCAATGTTCACACTGATGATTACAGTACTGTGGGTTGTGGTGAACTAGATGATATTTTATATTTGTCACAGCCTGCAGGGTTTCCCAAACATCCCTCCCCAAAGCCTAGACTCTTCAAAATAGACCCTCTACGTTGGTACTAGGATCACAAGTCCTCTTCTTACCTGCTGGGGACCAAATTTGATTGCTAAGGCCAACAGTTACTTCATAAGCACTGCCACCTCCGTACTTTGGGGAAAGTGCTTCCTCTGCCCCACCATCTCTCCCATTCACCCCATTCATCCTAGCACTCGGTAAACATCCCAACTGCTCACTGAATCATTCCCTGCTCCTTTCCATTCAGAGCCTTAGCATGACTTACCCTGTGCTTCTACAGCATGACACTTGCTTGTCTGGGTGAGGCATATGTCATTTAACAAACATCCCATTTAACAAACATTTACAAAATGTCTATTGAGTTCTTGGCATTATGCAAAGAAGGGACTGCAGAGGGAATGATAGGGGACCACCCTCAGGAAGCCCCTATCATTCCTGAGACTAGGACTCTCCTCTTACTTGGCCATCTCCTCTCCAAACTGTGAGTGTCCTGAGAGGAGGAAATCTGATCAGTTACCTTTGTATTCTCAGTGCTTAGCACAGAAGCCTTTCAGAAAATGAGAAGCTATAGGAGAAACAGGGAGGGAGGGAGAAAGGAAAGAAGAAATGAATTGATTCCAAAATTATTTGTTAAGTACTTCAAGTGGACCATGCCCTGATGGACAATGAATAGTACAGGGTATACTCATTCAGGTATGTGTGTGTGTGTCTGAGAGAGAAAGAAAGGGATGCAAGGACTGAGGATCTGGTGGTGAATGTCTACAGAGCTCTGAGGACAAACCTGAGGATGACCATCTTGTCCAGCTTTCTGAAATGAACAATTCTGAACTCAGAGGAGAGACAAGAAGGGACCTGGTTAGCTGCTAAACTGAACTGGGTGGTGGTTAGAGGAACTCTTCAAACATTTTTTGAAAGCAGGTGATTTTTGCAACTGAGAGCTTATAGGCATATGGTATTTGGATGATATAATTTCTTTAATTGAAAGTGTTATCTTAACCAGAGAGTTGTTCAAAACCCCAAAACAAAGACATCTGTTGCTGTTTTTGTTCTTTTCCCCCCAGCAAACAATCTGGTGGTGAAAAATAGGAATGACTAAGTGGAACGCCAGGAAAAAAATGTGGATTTGAAAAACAAACCCCTATGTCTTCAAGAGGATAACAGTCAAGGTACAAGGTAGGCATCTTCTAACCAGAGACTTCTGTGAGCTCTTGGGTCATTATAACTCAACTTCTTTTTATATCAATAGTGATTAATACAGAACCAATGGAATGAGCTTGCGGCAAATTCAGTGCATGTCTGTATTGTCCATGGACCTTAACTACCAGCTCTGTACCCAGGTGCTTTGGCTAAATCTCGGAGCCAGCCCTTTTGATTTACCTGTTTCCTGGACATCTCCTTGTCCCACAGGTACCTCAAACTCAGCTGATCAAAAGTGATTACATCAATCTACTGGAACCTGTGTCTACTCCTGACTTCTCCATTTTGTGGAGTATCTTACCAAATCAGAAACCTCTCAGGATCATCTTTCTCCTAGAGACCCTACAAATTCAAACCAAGACCGCTTGCTTCCCCTTTGGAAAGATTCTTCATTCAGCTCTTCTTCACCCCCACCATCTCTGCATATCTCTCTCAGATTACTGCAATGGTCCTTCTTCTCTCCAGACCTCCATCTAATCTTGACCCTGACTAGTGAAGAAAGCAGAATTCACCCGATATAGTTCAAATGAGGAGACGTTAATAAAGGGACTACACAGAGAGGTGGGGCAGGATTAATGGATGAGACAAGAATGCTAAAGTTCCCAGACAATAGCAACAGCTGGAAACTTGTTACCTGTAGGACTGATGGGACAAGGAAGAGAAATAGAGCTATTGACATCCAGTGGGGACTTGGAACTGTGGAGGAGGTGCTGCCCAGGGGTAAATACCAGAGAGGAAGGGCTGCCCAGGGGGAAATACCAGAGGTGCACAGAGCCAGGGAGGGAACAGGGAAGAAATCACATGCTCTCTCTGTCCTCCTCCCTGCTGGTGCTTTCCACTGGTTGAGCACAGAGGCCTGGTTCAGGGGCAAAAGATGCAATCTGCAGGGGCCAACCTCCTGGGGCAGAGAGCAGGGCAAAGAAGGACTGAACATGGACCTGGGGACATGGAATAGGAGGGCAAAGCATAACTAGCCTCTCCCTTCTTATCCATTCTGTACTCTGATACCTGTGTACCAGCCCTAAAACTGTAATGATGCCCCTCCTTGGTCTGGACCACTTCAGAAATTTCATATTGCACTCAAGATAAAAATCTATGCTGGCATTGAGTCTTCTGGTTGACCCCGATGACCTATCCAGCCCCATCTCTCACCACCCCTGCACTATTTCCAGGCTCCTGAATGCATACTCTTCTAAATGTCCATGGCTTAGTAAATATTCCTTTCTTTCCCTGGAATCTCCCCCTTGCCAAACCATTCCTAACACTAGCTGCCTGGTGAGCTATCTTCTTCCTAAACCTACTTCAGATGTTAAAATTTCTCTGCAAAGCTGTCTCTAACCATCTCACTTCGTGACCTCAGTTGATCACCCCTGTCTCTAGCTGGTGTCTCTAACATACATTTCTATTTTGCCACTATTGATACACTATTGATTTTCTGGGCGTTTTGAAATGAATATTATTTATTGTGTCTATTTGAGGCTTACAACCTGACGTTACGGGAAACCTACTAGGGTTACCTGCTGCAGGCTCCCCACCAAGTGGCCCTGGGTTCACACACCATGGCAGCTCACTCTGGTCAATCTGATCTCTTCCATTTTTGGAAGACTGGCTACCAGAAACTTCTTCCTTTGAGCAGAACTCTGGATAATTTTTTCCTACTGTCCACAGAACCACCAGGAAGAAACTGGTGCTCAGTCCATGTAACTGGTCTTCTGAAATGAAGGCAGAGTTGTCCTTTTGAGTTGTTTCTGTCCCAGGCTGAGCCTCACTTGTCCCATAGCTGGTCTTCATTAGAGAGACCTGAGGCCTTTGACTACTCTAAGAGTCACATCAAAACTTTTCTCACTGCTGGTATTTTAAGTAGGTTTGTGACAAGCTACTTAAGTACCTTATTTGACTACGTTGATGCCACAGCAAGCCATGATACATCTAAAAGAAGGACAGCAAGTTAGAGGGATCAATCATATGACCAGATAAGGAGATCAAGGTTCTGGGCAGGAGAGGGGTCACTTGCCCTAATTCATAGATGGTTGAGAATTATACCCAGGGCTGGCTGACTTGTAGAGCCCCTCTACTTTCTACTGACAATGATGCTTTTCCTTTAAGTGTGGTCAAGAATATCAGAACACATCACCCACAGTTGTGGGTTATAAGCAATACAAGAGTAAGGTCAAGGGCAAAAACACTGAAGGGTGAACTGGTCCATCTCTCCAACTCAATAGTAGTCTCTTCAATGAAAAAACTAGTAAAAAATTAGGCTAGTTTCTGATTGTGAGTGGTGCCCTCCATATAGAAAGCACTAGAAAAACAGTCATTATATGTCTTATAAAACTTTCTGATTGATTACCTTTCTCATTCACTCTGGCATTTCCAGATATCAAGGTCTTTGGCATCATATAGACTGGTGCTACTGTAAGTATGGTCTGCACACTGGTGTCAGTTGCAAACCATCATAGGTTCTTGCTGAAGTAAGAACAGAAAATGAGACTGGATTTTGAGACATTTCATAGAAATGTGACATTGCCATGGCATTCAGGCATGTGATTTTCTTATTTTACAAAAGCCTATAGATTGAAAATAAGAACGTGAGAGTACTGGTGCAGATCCAGTGATTGACTGGCTCTATTTCACTTTTATGAGAATTTAGACTCCATTTGTTTCTTTTGTTCATTTTTGGTTTTTGGTGGAACTGGGGTTTGAACTCAGGGTTTCATGTTTGCAAAGCAGGCACTATACTACTTGGGCCACACCTCCAGTTCTAGACTTCATTTGGATAATGGGGTCAGTTCAGCTCAGTTTGGAAAACAGCAAGACATCAGTAGGACACTGTGTGCTCTACCGGGGCTGTGGGAGGCCATAGGGATGATCAAGGGCTTCCTCTTCCTATAGCTCTCAGCATAGCAGTGTACATAAAAGAGGTACTTAGGAAATGTTGAAGTTAAATTGGTTTAACCTGATTGACTACTTGCAATTCTGCCTGCTATCAAATAGTGGATGCCTACTGGAATCGTTAAGCAAGTATTTGCTTTTTTTTTTTTTTTTAACTTTTCAATCCATGTAATCTTATCTCATCAACTGGACTGCTTGTTTTTCAGGGTAGAGGTCATATCTTAGATCACTTGTCCTCAAATTCAAAGACATACTTTTCAAATTTAATTTTTCTGAAATCAATATAGATCTTACAAGTGATATGTACATATGATGTAATCCTCCCCTTTCAACCTAAAAGTTATGAAATCAGTGGTATTTCTTACAATTAATGGCATTTTAGAATTTAAGAAATACTGTAATTCTAAGATACACAAGTTGCTCTCATCACTCTATAGGGTACATACAGAGTGTTCTATAAATTTCCCCAGCTTGAATATATCACCTTTAGTTTTCAGAAGTATAAGTTGGTCTTACCCAGGGTAAGTTTACTAGATGATTACTAAAATTGTTTTTTGTGTCTAAATTTGAAATAGTAATCCTTCCCAGTTAATAGCATTATACTACCTTACAGATGAGTTTGACCCTGGTCAGTTGCTGATAGTACATGCTCTTTCTACTGTATTCAACTGGTTCTCTGTGCCCATTGGAAAGCCCAAGTCAAGATTAACCCTTTCAGGAAGTAGTCATTTGCTCTTCTCTCTAGATTATGGCACTCTTTGTCTTTATCACACCCTGCTAACATTCTCCCTATAGCAAACTAATAGCCTTAATGCTTTATGCCTAAATTATATGGTTTTATGCATGTCTTGGTCCCCACCATTAGATACCAGTTCCTTGGGAAGCAATTAAGGGACCAGATTCTACCAGAGGATGCTGGCATCTTGCTCCTGATATTGGGATATTTCTTTTGTGAAACAAAATATAGGCTTTGGCTATGTGTGCATGTGATTTCATCTATGATGGAAGTGGAGGATCTAGTCCCAACTGAGGTCTTACCAGTCTACATGCCCTGGGGTGATTTACTTTTAAATTCGTCCTATCTTAATATGATTATTTACTAAAAGTAATGTAGACCCCATACAAGTAATGAAGATTTTGGATTATTATTACAGTGACATACAAGTTTTCCCTGAGCACAACAGAGTATCACTGAGTAATGAAAGTCAACATTTCTATAGCATTTTATAACAAATACTTTCACATCCACAATGTTGTTTCGTCCTTATACCAACACTATAAGGTAGGTAACCCATGCCCACTAGCCACAGAAGAAAACTGAGGCTAAGAGTCACCCAAGTCACTCATTCATAGCCAGTAAAGCTGGAATGAGGTCATATTCACACTGACTTTAACAATGCAATAAATGCTATCATGGCTACCTTTGTTATTTTCAGAACCCTGCTCTATCTGATGTGAACTCATTATGGCTCCTTGCTGGTCAAGTATTTGATAGAAATCTGTTGTGGAGCTACAGTTCCCCAGGTGACATCTCAGGTAAGTTATTATGATTAATAAGTAGGTAACAGATATTATCAGTCATGCCTGCCCTAGAGGCTAACTGAACTATGAAGACAAAGTGTTACACAAGAGTGGAGAGGCCTGTTTCCATAGCTGTTAGGCAGGGGTCCTATCTTCCTCGTGGAATAAATGGACAGAGCCCTGAATAGGAAGTAAGCCACATATGGCCTGATCCTGGTCCTGATCTCTGTTAGTGGTATAGCCCAGCACAGGCCTTGCACATGCTCAGGGGATCCTGCCCCACTGACTTTGCCTGGTGACTGAGAGGTCCAAATGAGATATATTAGTAGTCAGTCCAGTGCTTAGAAATGACTTCTACAATGCAGATTATCCTGGGGCTGTTGGCTGTTTTTATCTCCTGATCCCTTGCTGACCTTGGTTCCCAGGTTTCGATCATTTGCTAGGGAAATGGTCTTTACAAATGGTTCCCCATGGCACAAAGTTTCCATTGGTGGCACTATATCAACTGGGTATGGAACTTTTCAGAGAGCCAAATCCCTTGCCTTTCTTTATGTCTGTACAATTCAGCTGTGTAATAGTAAACACTCAAGTTCACCCTTTGAAGTGCTAAGTGACTGCCCTCTTTGTGACGCTTCCCTTGCCCCTTTCGATAGAATCCAGCATTCTATGCTACTTCTGTTCTTTTTGTACTCACTTCCATTATTTCATTCATCTTGAGATATGGTGGAACTTGTTTACCTGGTAGTCTTCCTTACTAAGATGTGATGTAAGGTCAGAGCTGATGAGTACTAGGATCTAGCAGAGAGGTTGTACAGAGTGGGAATTCAGAGAGATGGGAGGATACATAAATAGACAACCTAATAACTTAGCAACAGAAGTCATGGGTAGGAGCCCCACATGGCTAATTCTCCAGCTATGTACCTTGGGCACATCAGAATTTACCTGGTCTAACTTTCCTTTCAGGTAACATGAACAAAATAATGCTGTTCTGTTACAGCCAGAAGAATTAATATGTATGGAAATACCGTGAAACAGTTAAGTTGTGTAATACAAAGCAATGTACTTTGTATTATACTTCTGTAGCATATAATGGGCAAATATTGTATAAAAAGCACAGTTCTGGAGAAGCAGGTAAGTCTGAGCATTTGTCTATGTCCTGCCTCTTTATTTTGATGAGAATGTGAGTGAGGGAAATGGATGTCACTGGTCATCTTAGAATAAAGCATTTAATGTATTTATCAGCATTTACTATATTTATCAACCTTATATGTGAAGTCCCTTGACAATGTTCCCTCCACTCCTGTCTTCTGTGATGGAAACTTGCATCCAGGCCTATGCAACCTGCCCAGTTAACACACCATATCTCATGCAATGCTTTGCTCTTGCCATCTTGAATTCATTAGTAGTTTTTTGAACAAGTCCCATATTTTCATTTTCCACTAGTTCCTGCAAACTTAAGTTTCTGGTCCTACTCACGCTCTCTAGAGGCAGCTGCTCTGTTTTCTGCTTTCTAAGCAGACATCTCCCTCTCTGACACCCGTTTCTTTCCTGATTCTGCCTTTGAACCCTAAACTAGGAAGATTCCTCTTTCAGCCAACCAGCCAAAGGTAAAGACAGCTGTCTTTTAATTCCCTTGTAACCCCTAATTCCTCTATTTTTTTTTCTCTCCACATTGATTTATGATGTTACCATTATTGATCATTCTATTTGAACGCAAAATGTAACCCATTTCTTGGGTGTACTGCATTCCATTCATCGCTTGTGTCTTGTGCTAATATTGTACTATTTTAATAACAATAGTCATGTGATATGTTCTAAAATTTGTTAAGGGTAGTTCTTCATTATTGTTACTTGCCTAAGTCAACTTTTTTATTTATACCTTCTTTATTCATGTAGATGACATTTAGAATCATTGTATTCTTGAGATAAACCCCACTTAGTCATGGTGGATTATTCTTTTCAATATACTACAGAGTTCACTATCATTTTCTTTAGAATTTTCAGAAATATAGTAAGTAATGAGCTATAATTACCCCTTTTATATTATGAGTCAGATTTTAATGTAAGAATTTATGATAGCATTATAAAATAAATGAGATAACTTTTCATATTTCTGTGTGTTGTAGGACACTTTAGACAACATGGGACTTTCTTTTCTTTTTTTTTTTCTTTTGGCAGCACTGGGGCTTGAACTCAGGGTCTCATGCTTGCTAGGCAGGCACTCTACAACTTGAGATACTCCTCCAGCCCTATTTTGTGTTGAGTATTTTTGAGATAGGGTCTCTTGAACTATTTGCTTGGGTGGCCTCAAACTGTGATTCTCATGATCTCATGGCTCAGGTTGAGCACCGGAGCCCAGCCAGAACTTTCTTTTTGTAAAGTACAAAATAATTCACCATATAAGGCTAAAAGTTGTGAAGGTAAGGGAGAGGGTAATACTGAAGACAATTTTCTTGAATTGTGTCTTAATTCTTATTATATTCAACTCTGTTTCTTTTGGACCAATTTTTATAATTTATATATTCCCATAAATTACACAGATTAATAAAATATTTACAAAAGTATCAGCACATAGCTGTGTATAGCATTATTTGGTCATTTACGTCTTCTACATGTGTCATATTCATTCTGCACTTTTTTTTTTTTGGGGTATATTAGAGTATGAACTCAGGGCTTCATGCTTGCTAAGCAGTTGCTCTGCCACTTGAGCCACTCCACCAGTTCTGTTTTGTGTTGTCATGTTGGATATTTTCAAGGTGGTTTTGCCAACTATTTGCCTGGTCTTACGTTGAGCTACAATCCTCCTGATCTTTTTTTTTTTTTTTTTTTGGCAGCACCGGCGCTTGAACTCAGGGCCTCATGCTTGCTAAGCCAGTGCTTTACCACTTGAGCCACTCCACACTCCCTCCTCCTGAGCTTTTAATTTGTTTCTTTCTTCTTGACTAAGTTTGTCACAGATTCATAAAAATATTTTATTTTCATCTCAAAACAGTCTTTGTATTTATTTAGGAAGTCATTGTATATTCTATTTCTGCTTATAAGTAAATTAATTTTAATCTTTATAGTTTCTCTTCTAATTTCTATCACTTTTATGTAGAGGGTTCATTAAAAATTTTAGTCAGAACACTACTCAATTTTCTTGTTTAAGAATAATAAATTGTCCAAGTGGAGAGAAGGTGAATATTAAAATTGTCATTTTTCTTACTAGTTTTCAAAGTCATTTGCAATATTTTAGTTTAAATGAGCTCATTACCATTATGTCATCATTTTGGGATTATAAATTTTATCAATATAAAATGATTATTGTTATCTCTTCCCCTTTTAAAATCTGCTTTGACTAATCCCTTCTCTTGCTTTTCTTTACATCTATCTGACTTATAAAGTTGAATCTATATCTATAATATTTCATGTGCCCGTCCTTTATGTGGACAAACCACTTGTTTCTGTTTTAAAATTTAACGCAAATTTTTAGCTTCCATCAGCTCCTTTCTGTTCATCTATGTATGTTTTAAAGCTCTCTTACCATTCTGGTTAATAGTAGGTTTATAAGAGCTTCTTGTCTATTTAAATTTTGGCATTTGTGGAATTTCAGTTTATTATCTATGACTCCCATCCACCCTTCCCTCCATTTCTAATTCTGTCTGCTTCTACAAGGAAACTAGCAAGTTGGAGCAGTAGCAATTCAATGACATACTCACATAATGTAGCACTACTCAGGCTTATGTATTTAAGAAACTTAAGTGTATTGGTGAAATACCAAAAAACCCTAGCAGTATAGGGTATACTTGGATTAAAATAGGTAAGAATAAGATTTTCTGATCTAAATGTTGCAAGGGAATAATCACATTTTGATTCGTAGCTTAATGTACAAAAAATATTGGCTAAGAAATGCATGATGCTCTTATAAGAAGTAAGTGTAAAATAGACCAATAAACCTCCAAAAACCCAATATCCATGAGTTGGTTAGAACTGCATATTCATCATTTCTTCATGGAATGTTCTAAGCTTATGAGTCAGGAATCTCTCATGAGACCACCAGGCATTCTAATTCTCAGTGTGCCATTTCTCCATTTCCTTTGACCCGATCTTCATGCACCATATTCTGCAATACTAAGGAACACACAGACACTTCTTATGTATATGTGTTCGATTATATTTTAGAAAAAGTATCACAAAATACAGTTTTTATGTATTAATTATTCAAGACACCAATCATGGGCTGGTAGAATTTTATAGAATGTGATTTGAGAAAATCCACCTTGAGGCAACTGGGTTATAATATTTTTTAGAAAGATAAAGCCACAGTATGCTGATAGACCTAAAAGTGACAATTTTCGTCAATTCACTCATTCATTCATACAAGACATACTTATAAAAACGCTTATTTTAGGCTGGACAATGTGCTTACCTATTGGAGCTATAATGTTGAATAAAACATACTCAAGTTCCTTGTGAAACTTACCATCACTAGTGGGTGGTCATAAGAAGGTGGTATCACGCTTGAAGGACTCATAACAAATTAAAGAAGCATAGAAAAGGGGACTCAACCAGCCAGATCATGAAAGAGTAGTCTCAGAGAAAGCCTGAATGATTAGGGAAGTGTTTTCTCTAGAACACTAGAGCCAGCACTCAAGCCCAGAGAGAGAGAGAGAGAGAACTCTAGCTGTGCATGTGTGTGAGGGGCATACCAGCTGATCATGGATGAAGGGGCATATGGGCTCAATGTTAGACAGACCCATCCCTTCATTGGTGGCTGTCAATGACAGACTGATACTCAAGAAGAGTTTTAAGAACTTGGGGTGTGGTGAGTCCCAGTGGCTTCAGACAGATGATAGTGTAAGGTTTTGGTGATTTCTATTCATTAAACTTCAGATAGAGCTGAAAAGGGCCATCCAGTGGGTGTTAACATTTCTATACAATGAGTGCCTATTTCTCCAAAGCTGGGTGGACTGACCCCAGTGAAGTATAGAATCTGCAGCCTGAGACCCTTCATGTAGAGGCTGGACTGGTTTTCT